GGTCCATAGACAAAATTTTCACTTTTCGCTTGACGACCATTGTCTTGAATTCCTGAAGGCAGAGTTATTTTCAGTCTATTTAAAAAAGCATGAAAAGGACTAATACTCTTTGAAAATATTTTGATAAGAATTGAAACAGTAGATTCCTCCGTGCTAGATGGCTTGCATTTGAATCATGGCTGAGCCACTTGCTAGCTGAGCGACCTCGGGCAAACCCCTTGACCTATCTGTGTCTCACTGTCTTCATCTGCATAGCAGGATAGAAATAAATCCTACTTTTAAGTGAGTTATTATTTTAAGGTACTTGCACAATGAACGAACCATAGTAGATGCTATGAATGTGCTATTTTTTCTCATCGAATACATTTTTAATTAATAAGAGAAGTTAGGAGCACATAGTATCAATCTCCTATACTTCTATACAACTGATAGACTTTTGACCAAAACAACACATTGAATAGCAACAGTTTTTCAATATTATTGAATGTTATATTCTATTAAATGTCCTTGAAGATATTTTAGTTACATGAGAATATTGTATGAAGTAACAGGTTGAGAAATGGTAAACCAGTATGACATTTTTAAAGGAATAGCAAAAGAACACACCCAAATGTGTTTACAGAAGGTGTTTCTATGAAAGTGCTTTTTAAAAAAACAAATGAACTTCCTCTGAGGTCTTCAGTGAGTACTAAGAGTCAGATGAGCCAGAACATTTCAACTATCAACTCCTCTTATGGTTTAAGAATGGTAATAAGTTCTGAATTATTTTAGTATATGTGATAAACTGGTCTTTTTAGTGAACATCTGTTGTCTTATTTTGATATAATTTCTGATGTACTGAAAAGTTGGAGGAATAGTACAAAGAATTCCTAGATTCATCAGTTGCTCACATTTTGTTCATTTGTTTTTGTGTTCATTCATTTGCTTTTCCTTCCTTCCTTTCCTCTTCCCTTTTTCCTCTCAGAATCATTTGACAGTAAGTTTGAGACAGTTGCCCCTTTATTCTTAAATATCTCAGGGTAGATTTTAATAACAGGGACATTCTCTTAACTAATTTAATATTGATATGACACCATAGTGTAATCTATAGGCTATATTCAGAAATTGTTATTTGTCCCAGTAATGTCCTTTGTAGATAAATGTGTGTGTATAAATATGTGTGTATGTTTGTGATTGTGCATGCAATTATGACTATGCATGTATTTTTTTTCGGATCTAAGATGCAACATAGGATCACCATTTCATTTGGTTGCCGTGTATCATTCCTTTATTTGGAACAATTCCTAAGATTATTTTGGTCTTTCATAACCTTTACCGTTTTTAAGGAGCAATCACTTTGCAGAAAGTCTCTCACATTTGAGTTAGTCAAACGTTTGGCATTTTTCCTCGTGATCAGGTCTAGGTTTAAGGTCATTGTGTATGGTGGTTTTAAAAAGAATGTGGTATTTCATCACTGTAGAGTTTTAGAATGAAAAGATAAGAACGTCATGCTGTATAAACTGACATCTGTGGAGTGAGGTAGGTATAGCAAAACTGACATAAGAGATATTCTGAGGGTGCTTATCTCCAACAAGTCAATAACTGTATCCCCCAAAATAATCCTTTTAAGGAATTCACTGTGCTAATAGTGAAGGCAAGTAGATCAAGAGAAAAGAAAGGCAGAACCGCACTATGTCCTTGATAAGAAATCAGGTGTAGACCGACTTCTTTCTTGGGTACAACAGAAATAAATTAAACATCTATAGAATGGTCTCCTCTACCTGGGAAGCTCGAAGTTTCTTGGTACCAGGAAACATGAACAGGCATCCTGCTCTTTCGTAGAAGAGTGACTGTCTCCACATAAGACCAGTGTGTAAGGTGGAAGATGAAAAATGTAACCCAGCACGCAAATGCTGTGTTTTTTTTTTCTCATTCCAACAGTGACCAGACACCTTTAAAATTGTTCTTAGTCTACACATGGCAATGTCATTCATCATTGTAAATACCCAGACTCTTTAAAAATGAATGACTTTTTTTAAGTTTAAATATTTTTATTTTATTTTAGGATTATATAATATAATAATATTGTATCAATAAGTAATAATATACTTATTGAAGTATTGTTGATTTACAATGTTGTGTTAATTTCTGCTGTATAACAAAGTGATTCAGTTATGTGTGTATATGTATTTACACACACACAGAATATATATTCTTTTTTTAGATTCTTTTCCATTATGGTTTATCACAGGATATTGGATATAGTTCTCTGTGATGTTCAGTAGGGCTTCCCTGGTGGCTTAGATGGTCAAGAATCTGCCTGCAATTCAGGAGACCTGGGTTCGATCTCTGGGTTGGGAAGATCCCCTGGCAAAGGGATAGACTACTCACTCCAGAACTCTTGCCTGGTGAATCCCATGGGCAGAGAAGGAGGAGGAGGGGACGATAGAGGATGAAATGGCTGGATGGCATCACCCACTCGATGGGCATGAGTTTGAGTAAACTCCGGGAGTTGGTGATGGACAGGGAGGCCTGGTGTGCTGCGATTCATGGGGTCGCAAAGAGTCGGACACGACTGAGTGACTGAACTGAACTGAACTGAGGAAAAGGAAGGGCTTAAAGTGGAATGATAGAAAAGACTGTGCCATTGTTAGAAAACCACCTAGAGGGAAGTAGAGTGACTGGAAACTCATGCTTTTGGTGTTGTGCACAAAAGCACCGATGGTCTTGAATGTACTAAAGTTCAGAAATGACAGGAAGGAGTTAATCCTTTTAAACAAGTGCCTAGGGTACACTCGGGGAAAATCTGACTGAATGAGTTACTGCTCAGCCTAAAATTAAACTCCTGGCTTTTTGTCTAGCATGTGAACTATTGGATCACATTTGTTTTCGCTGATGGATCCTTTTTTTTTTTTTTTTTTTAACGAATTGAAAAGAGAATCCCCAGTGGTTCCCTTTATGTGAAGAAAACAAGATAAATATTAGCTAGGAAAGATCATTTTGGTTTCCAGTATGTGGGGAGTTCATTAGGATGGGTTCTGGTAAATTACACTGTGTACTTCTTTCTGATAACAGAAGGTCATGTCGTGCCCTTGGGTGGATATCAGGACAAACATACTTAATAAAGTTGGAGGATCTGGGAGATGAACATTATCCAGTGATTTCTTTTCCAGGTATCTTACATTTATACAGTTACTCAAAGCTGCTTCTCTCTCATAGAGCTAATCACTCACAGCCTCCTCTGTGTCTCCTGTGGCCCCAAAAGGATGGATCTCAAGCCTGTCACCTAAAGAGGCCTCTAGACAAACATCTGTAATTACATCTAGGGCATCCAAAGAAGAGAAAACTATCAGTTGTATTTTGTGGTGCATTTGCAGTGGGTTCAACAGGATTCGATAATGATTAGACTGTGGAGCAAGGATCTTTTGTAAAAATAAAAATAATTTTATTTATTTTTGGCTATGCTAGGTCGTCATTGCTTCACAGGCTTTTCTCTAGTTGCGGCTATTTGGGGTGACTACATGTTAGTGGTAATGCACAGGCTTCTCATTGCCGTGGCTTCTCTTGTTGGGGGGCAGAGGCTCTAGGAAGCGCAGACTTCACTAGTGCTTGGGCTCTAGAGCACAGGCCCAATAGTTGTGGCACACAGGCTTGGTTGCTCCATGGCACATCGGAATCTTCCCTGACTTGGGATCGAACACATGTCTCCTGCATTGGCAGATGTTTTCTTTATCACTTAACCAGCTGGGAAGCCCGCAAGGATCATTTGTTTGTCACATTTGCAGCTTAAATACTTATTGTTGCCCATCATTATTTCTCTTTGATCACCATCCCTTGGAGGGATGTACTTAACTCAGTAACGTTAAAAATGGGTAGTTTCATGTTCCTTTTTTATTTTTTTAAATGTCTTTTGGTTTGGAGTTATCTGAATCCTTCTTGAAAAATGTTTTCATTAAGTAGAAATGAAGGTTTGTGCGTTAAAGGAGCATGTTGAATCTCAGTTATGGTGTTAAAAAGTGTTTTTTGTATTTTTGTGCGTTTTATGTTGGAAAAATTTTTGCCTTCTGTGTCCCATCAGCATTCTTCAAAAAGCATCCTTGCAAATTGTTTTATACCTGTGCTAATGAATGAGAGAAAGTTGCTCAGTCATGTCTGACTCTTTGCAACCCCATGGACTGTAGCCCACTTAGCTTCTCTATCTGTGGAATTATCCAGGCAAGAATACTAGAGTAGGAAACCATTCCTTTCTCCAGGGAATCTTCTCAACCTGGGGATCAAACCCAGGCCTCCTGCATTATAAGTGGATTCTTTACCATCTGAGCTATTAGGGAAGCCTGTATATATAAAGCCCATTCATTAAAAAGCAATTTATTTATTTTAATTGGAGGATAATTACTTAACAATATTGTGGTTGTTTTTGCTATACATCAACATGAATCAGCCATGGGTACACATGTGTCCCCTGTTATAGATTATTATATAATATTGAGTCTAATTCCTTGTGCTATACACTAGGTTCTTCTTGGTTATCTATTATATACATAGTGGTGTGTCTTGCAAATTGTTTATCATCATCAGGTTTATGTCACAGAACATTGAAACTTAGGTCTGCATGCTGGCTTTTCCACTGCTCTGTGAACTTGGGCAGGTTGTGGAACTCTTGGGATTGGAGTATCTTCAATTTCATTTTCATCCTGTGGTTGATGAGAGAGTGAAATTTTGGATCATGAATGGTTTGGTACCCTCTGTCAACTTGATCATGCCTTTGCTGCAGAGGGAACTTCTACTTTAAAATTGTATTCTGTTAACTACTGTGTGGCTAATTAATAAGTGCAGAATTCTGTATTTCCTGCCTTCCCTCCATCCCCATCTATTAGGAAACTTTACAAATGTGGATGTGTTTGACTGTCTACCACTTGCCTGAAAACACAGTTGTAAAAAAAAAAAATTGCTTCTGAAAACCTGTATCATCTCAGCATTAAAATGCTAATGGCTTCCTGTCTTTTTTGTATTTTAAATAGGTCTATGAAGTTAAGATAATTTTTTGGAACTGTCGAAATGGTTGGTCCTAGCTACCAATGGGAACTTGGAGTCGCTCTGAAATCCATCCTGGAATAACCGTGTTTGACTGGAACCAAATTTTATGAAGTCTCCAAGGTAAAATGATTTTAGCACATACATAGAAATGGTATCTTTATGAAGCATGAAGAATTTAGGCAGATGGAATATCTTAGAATTGATGACCCTTTATAAAAACTTTATTTTGTGTTGGATTTTTGGAAATATGGAGAATTTTTAAAAAATTAGCTCTGATCTTTGAAATTATTTCAGTTGATAAAGCAGTACTTTGGCTATTCAACAGGGCCAAAGGTGATATTTTTAAGATAAACTAACTCTGTTTTACATTTGGACAAAGATGTTCAATGTAGGAGAAATTGAAGTATTACAGTAGGTATGAAAGTGAAAAGTGAAAGTGTTAGTCACTCATTTGTGTCCTATTCTTTGTGACCTCATGGACTGTAGCCCACCAGGCTCTTCTGTCTGTGGAATTCTCCAGGCAAGAATGCTGGAATGGGTTGCCATGCCCTTCTCAAGGGGATTTTCCCAACCCAGGGATCAAACTTGGGCCTCCTGCATTTCAGGCAGATTCTTTACTGTCTGAGTCACCACAGTAAATGTAGTAGGTGAGACATCTTTTTACTGGGGCTCTGGATTATTGAATGAAATGAAGAATCATTGCTAAAGAGCTGCCCGCCTAGCCATAGGCATTTCTTGAGGGAATCATAGCTGTTGTTAGGTCAATACATGTTCTAGGCAATACTTGTTCTCAAACTCACCCCAGACCCTGATACATAGAATTTTCCATGAAGAAGAAGTCAGATCAGGGACGATTACCCGAGATTTGGAACAGGGGCCCATGAGACTTTTGATTTGGGGTTTGTTTTTGGAATCCAACCAGGAGAACAGAAGCCATCCTGCAGCAGAAGGACAGGGAGTTGAATTCAGAAAACTGATTACATGTGTGGTGGCCAGAGAGGTTAAGCAGAAGACACAAAGGCAGCCCGTAGATGAGCAACAGCAGGCAACAGCTCTGCCATCCTGAGGCTGGTGGGACAGAGGAAGGCAGTCCTGCTGGCCAGTGGCCTTGGAGGGGAAGGGCCTTCCATGGGAGCTGAGCCATAGTGGGCCCTTTGGGGGAAATTGACACCATGGAGGAGAAATCGCCACTCCGTTGACCCTGCCAAGACAGAGAAGGTGGGGAAAAAATACCATGGCCTTTTCCTTCCACTCTGCAGGCTCTAACTAAGTCAGGTAGGAGCCAGATCGTTCAGGAACCTGGGGAATGCAGTATAGAGGTGTCACCCAGTGGAAGTGGAAAGAATGGTGCTGAGGGCAAAACAGGCCCAGGCTGGGCTAGGGTTTATATTTGAAGTCTCTTCCCATCACATTTTAATGAGCATGATGCCCTGCCCAGCATCCCCTTCAGGAATGAAGGATTCATGCCCTCAACTGTCAGAAGCATTGCAGAAGATGGCCTATAGCATCTTTGAATTGTCTGCAATCCAAAGAGCCTCCTTGCCTGAGATGAAAGGTTTTTCCTGATGTTCAGGTGTAAAGGCCTGACCCCTCACTACAGTCTGGGACCATGGAGAAGGGGCATCTCAGCTGTGTAGTTCAGTCACTCACTCGTGTCTGACTCTTTACAGCCTCATGGACTGCAGCACGCCAGGCTTCCCTGTCCTTCACCATTTCCCGGAGTTTGCTCAAACTCATGTTCATTAAGTAGGTGATGCCATCCAACCATCTCATCCTCTGTTGTCCCCTTCTCCTCCTGCCTTCAATCTCACCCAGCATCAAGGTCTTTTCCAGTGAGTCAGTTCTTCACATCAGGTGGCCAGAGTATTCTGGAACTTCAGCATCAGTCCTTCCATTGAATATTCAGAGTTGATTTCCTTTAGGATTGACTGGTTTGATCTGCTTTGGAACTCCCCAGAGGGTTATCTGCGGCCTTTCCCTCTTTCTGTCTTTCCTTCTTCTTGTCCCTCCCCTTCCACAGATGATACTCCCTAGAGCACTCCTTAAGTCACCCGCTGATCATCAATTTCTATCTTAGAGTTGATTTCCTACGGTACCCAGCATTTGGGACTCAGATCATCTCAGACATACTCTCCCAGTTTGGTTAACTCCATCCAGACAGGTTTAGGACTTGCAGTGACTGATGAACACATGGAAACTGAACTTCACTGGTAAATTAGGTGGGACAAATTATAGCTCATCTGATAGACTTCATCTGAATTTGGAGACTCTAAATCAGGTGGAACACTGTGGTGAGAGGCTGAGGAGCCAGCCCACGAAGCAGGAAGAAGTGGAGGATAGAACAGTGAAGAGGCCTTTGGAGACCTATTGTTTTAAACTGTTCAGTTTGGCAGTGTTTATTACACAGTAGTAGAAAGCTAGTATTCCATTCATCTGATTCCTTAACATTTTCCTTTTCTGGACCACTAATTGCTACAAACCAGAAGTTAGGGTACCCAAATCCAGTTTGCAAATGTGTTTTGTTTGATCTGCACTCTGTTTTTAAAACAAAACAAGTGGAATCCCTTGCTGACTCAAAGTGTGCAGACAGTGTATCAGAAAGCAGCTTCTCTTGAAAAGTCATTCCTGGCGTTCCCTTGGAGCAGCTGCCCCTAGATAGGACTCTACCTTCCCTACTGCTCTCTGGAGCCTTGGGCCCAGCCAGCCTACACTTTTATTGGGAGAGATTTGAAATTTTGACCCTTGGGTAAGACTAAGCCTTTGTAACAGTTAGATCAATAATGGATATTGGAGTTAACAACTGGAATTTTAAAACATGGGAGGGGGGACAGAGCACCTCATTCAAAAACTCAGCATATATAGAATTCTGAACCTCCATACTTGCCCTGTTGAGTAATAAATTAATAATCAATTTCCTGAAGATGTAATTACATACTAGCACCTCAAACTCACGTAGACTCACACATATTCTTTGCCACATTTGAGCTGATTCCAGGGTTTCTACCCACCGTGCTTGGAGGCTGAGGTGGGGGAGACGGAGGACATGCTTTGCAAAATTAAGGTGCACGCAGGTCTTTCAAAGCAGAGGCATCTAGTATATCTGTCAGTTTTAAGCGCTCAGAATTTCCAAGGCCAAGGGCAAAATGATGTCAAGCTTCAAAGCTTGACATCACTTTTGCCACCCTGGTCTTCAAAGATAATCTTAGAATCTTGTATTACTGTGGCTGTTTCAGAGTTACACAGTCTCAAATCAGTGGCAATACAAGATCTTTCAACAGGATCTATGTGACTACTTTGTGAGAGGCCAGTGCCTGCTCCTGGGAGTGATGTGGCCACTGGGTCCCCAAGGCTGCGTTTCCTCTTGATGATGGAGTGAAGGTTCTGGTTGAGACCCTGCGGGGTTGGCAGTCATGGGCTTGTTGTTAGGCCCTTCCTTCAGGATTTCCTCAGAAGCCTTGCCTGTTGTGTTACTCAGACAGGAATCCACGGGCCATGTCTTTATCATCTGCCCATGAGTGTCTATACATCTTGTATATGAAAAGGCAGTTCCTTTGACCCTCTGTGGTGGATCTGTTATCCTTGAAGCCAGGCAGAACCCAGTGTTACTGGAGTTTCAAATGCCCAGAGCTTGGACTTTCGCTTGAAAAAGTTAACTAAAAAAAAAAAGAGCAAACTATTGTAAAGTAATTAGCCTCCAATTAAAATGAATAAATTTATTAATAAAGTTAATCTAGTGCTATCTGAGATCCGAAAAGGCAGAAAGTTAGGGAGGGAAGTAGAATGCATATTAGCTATTTTTTTTTACTTATTTTGGAAAGGGTAGTGTTTTAGAATAGACCACACAGCCACATTTGTAAACTGAATTGTCTTTGAGCAACTGTTTGGATACTGCCCATTCATATGAAGTGAAATATATTTTCCCAGTTTTTATTGAGATGTAATTGATTCATAACACTGTGTCTATTTAAGGTATGCATTGTATTGATCCAGTATGTTTATCAATTGCAAAATGATTCCCACCATAGGATCAGCTACCACCTTCTTACTGTGGCGGAAGTAACGGTTCCTTCCTGGGAAGAAAAAAATTAAAAACCAACCCCCTAACAAAAATCAAGTATATGGGACAGCGTTATTAGATTAGCTATAATCACCATGCTGAACATTAGATCCCCAAACTTGTTAATCATGTCACTGGGAGATTTGACCTTTGACTAATACCTCCTATTTCCCTTACCCTCAATCCTTGGTGACCACTATGCTACTTAATCTGTTTCTCAGAGTTTGTCTTTTTTAAATTCTACATCAAGTGAGATTATGCAGTATTTGTCTTGATCTGACTTATTTCACTTAGCAATAATGCCCTCAAGGTCCATCTAAAATTTCGTTTATGGCAAGATTTCCTTCTTTCTCATTGTTTGATAATATTTCATCTTTGTCCATTTATCTATTGACATCTATATGAAGTTGTTTATATACTTATCAGTACTTGCCCATATTCTCATCAAACTCTGAGATTGGATTAATAAACTATTCAGCCAGTATTCTAGGCCAAAGGGCATTAATATGCAGTCAGAGAAACCAGGGGAAAGTTCTCAGGCCTGGTGTGTGAATTTCTGTGGTTTCTTTCACATGCAGAAACCACATATCTTTTATTTGAATCCTGCTTAAAGTATGTCGCTTTTTAAATTTTGTGCTATAAAATAGCATATAACCCCCATGTTCTGTCAGGGCCACTCAGGCTATGCTCTAGGGATTCATAAATAGACTTCTCACTGAGGCATGCAGTTAACTTGAAAAGCTTATAATTATAAAAGGCGTGTATTGAGAACTGAGTGAACGCACAGTGCGTGTAAGGTTCGCCTGGCCTCCAGTCTCTTTGGTGACGTAGGGGTAGGGGTGCATTGCCCAGCACCTTCCCCTGCTCTCCGCACCTTCTAAGGACGGTGTTGGCTCAGGGTCCCTCAGCACCCATCCATCGCTGACCTGCATCCTGCTTCCCCTCCAGGATGGGAGCCTGCGCCAGGTCTGTCCTGCTGTCTCACTGGCTCTTTCTGGCCTACGTGCTGATGGTGTGCTCTAAGCTCCTGTCCGCCTCCAGCCAGCACCTCCGGGGACACACAGGTAAGCCCTTTAAACTCGTCCTGCCCCACTGAGATCAATTAATAAAATCCTTTCAAACGTCAAAGCCCACATTTCAGGCACAGGTAATTGACAAGAGCCTTGGATGGTGTGTAAATAACCAGAGGAAGCATGAAATACAGAGGGTAAAGCAGTTTGACAGTTTGATGCTTAAAGAGACTTGTTCTAGATATCTTTTAAAGATTTCTCCAGGTTTTCCTTTTCTTTTCCTAAGTACACTTCCATTCTTTGGAAGTGATTTTTCTCAGAGAATCCTGGAAACCCAGCAGCATTTTATTCTTATATATTCTAGCTTCCTTTGAAGGCAGAATATCTTTATTGATAAACTTGAATGAACACTGAAGGCAGTTTGCACATAATACGGTTCTTTTAGGAAAAGATGGTGAATGATTTAAAAAGAAGAAAGGGAAAAAAAAAGTGGTGGTAACTTTTGCACAGGACCTAAAATAGAAAGTGTGTGAAGTCTTAGAGACGCGTTTTTGATACTTTCTAGTGAGACCCATGTCTGTCCTTCGCTTATTTCTAAAGACAGATGAAAATAATCAGTTAAGTATCTCTGTGTGTATTATCTATTTGTCTTCACCTTTCCCTTTTACATCTACATTTAAAGTGATACAGATTTGAAAACTCCCCAGTGAGTTGTGTTTTGCTGAATAACTCCTATTTGTCAGCAAACTCGTTGCTAAACAATTAATTTACTGTCAATGCTTCAGTGATTGGAGGTGTGGCAGTTTTTAGTGAAAGAGTGAAGCTTGAACCCTAAACCGTGTATGTGCCAGAATTGTAAAGTCTGTGTCTGAGAAAGTGTGCTGGTCACATAGCCTTATTCTCAGATATACACCAGGTCAACGTTTCTCCTTAGTTATTCTGATAATTTAGGACTAAGACTTAACTTTAGGCTGAAGTTTTTAAACTCTCTCACATTTCAGTTTTCCTTAAGTGACAGTTTCAAGAAGACAAGAAAAATAATGATTGCAATTTTAATAAATCAGTGTAAAATCGATACTATTTGACTTCCGTGAAAGTGCCCAGGGCTAGTTGGTTATTGTGCTGTGTATCTTTGGGTGAGCTTTCTCTCAGGAATAGGGTATTTGAAGTCATCAGTCTTACCTGTTTAATACACATCTCTGTTCTTGGGTTGCAGGTAGAGAGTCAGTGTAGTACAGAACCAGAACATTTCAGTGGGGCGGGTTAGCCCCAGAACATTCCAGACTTTTCAAAACTGGGTTTGAGATTGTGATCAACAGTGATTAAACCGGAGGGAAACGGGGGCCATGATGGACCCTTCAATTCTTCATCTTTGTTGGCAATCCTCATTCCATACCATAATCTTTTAACTTTGGAAAAGGTGAGACCATAAGGTGTCTGTGTGAAAGTGAAGGTGCGGTTCGGTAATGAAATGTGTTATACGTGAGCAAAAAAAATTTTTGAATTAAATCTAAATTAAGATTAAAATTGTGAACACAAGAGATGCAGTATTTTCCATATAAGCCAAGCCTCAACTGTAACAGGGAGGGTAAGAAGTCTTAGCAAAGCCTTCAAAAGCTCAAGAAATGAAATTTTCATCATGGATTTCTTTCAGTGATTTTATTTGGATTTTTGGTCTTTGGTTTCTCTTTGACTTTTGGGGGATTCTTCCTGATTTTGTTTTTGGAATTTAAGTACCTATCATCCCTCATTCTTTTAAATTTATTTATTTTTAATTGGAGGATAATTGCTTGGCAATGTTCTGTTGGTTTCTACCATTCATCAACACGAATCAGCCATAAGTATACACACATCGCTTCTTGAACCTCCCTCCCACCTTCCACTCCATCCCACCCCTCTAGGTTGTCCCAAAGCCTCGAGTTGAGCTTCTTGTGTCATACAACAAATGACCACTGGCTATCTATCTTACATGTGGTAGTGTATCTGTTTCCATGCTATAGTCATCAGTCTTACCTGTTTAATACACATCTCTGTTCTTGGGTTGCAGGTAGAGAGTCAGTGTAGTACAGAACCAGAACATTTCAGTGGGGCGGGTTAGCCCCAGAACATTCCAGACTTTTCAAAACTGGGTTTGAGATTGTGATCAACAGTGATTAAACCGGAGGGAAACGGGGGCCATGATGGACCCTTCAATTCTTCATCTTTGTTGGCAATCCTCATTCCATACCATAATCTTTTAACTTTGGAAAAGGTAAGACCATAAGGTGTCTGTGTGAAAGTGAAGGTGCAGTTCGGTAATGAAATGTGTTATACGTGAGCAAAAAAATTTTTGAATTAAATCTAAATTAAGATTAAAATTGTGAACACAAGAGATGCAGTATTTTCCATATAAGCCAAGCCTCAACTGTAACAGGGAGGGTAAGAAGTCTGAGCAAAGCCTTCAAAAGCTCAAGAAATGAAATTTTCATCATGGATTTCTTTCAGTGATTTTATTTGGATTTTTGGTCTTTGGTTTCTCTTTGACTTTTGGGGGATTCTTCCTGATTTTGTTTTTGGAATTTAAGTACCTATCATCCCTCATTCTTTTAAATTTATTTATTTTTAATTGGAGGATAATTGCTTGGCAATGTTCTGTTGGTTTCTACCATTCATCAACACGAATCAGCCATAAGTATACACACATCGCTTCTTGAACCTCCCTCCCACCTTCCACTCCATCCCACCCCTCTAGGTTGTCCCAAAGCCTCGAGTTGAGCTTCTTGTGTCATACAACAAATGACCACTGGCTATCTATCTTACATGTGGTAGTGTATCTGTTTCCATGCTAAACTCTCAATGCATCCGCCTTCTCCTTCCCCCGCTGTGTCCACACATCTCTATGTCTCTGTTGCCTTGGCTGCCCTGTAGGTGGGTTCATCAGTGCCATCTTTCTAGATTCCCTATATACATCTCACCCCTCATCTCGGTAAGCATCAAAGCAGTCAGGATGACTCCTGCCCACGGAGAGCTCTGTTCTCTCCCTGGGACTGCAGGCTGTATGTGGAGAACCATCTTTGCAGAAGTATAGGCGGGCTTTGTTTTATTGCTCTTGGCTTCTTTCTTACACTTTACTGTTTTTTTCTCCTTTTTTTTATTTTAACAAATCAAATGTTTGTGGCAACCTTTCATCCAGTAGGCCTGTCGGCTCCATTTCTTCCCAGCTGTGTTTGCTGTCTTTGTGGGTCTGTGTCATAGTTTGGTAATCCTTACACTATTTCAAACTTTTCCACTATTTATTTATTATGGTCTGTCTGACCTGTGATCTTTGATGTGGCCATTGCAAAAAGATTATGACTTGATGAAGGCTCAGATGATGGTTAGCGTTTGTAGCAATGAAGTATTTTAAAATTAAGCGATGTGAATTCTATTTTAGACATAATGCTTTTGCACACTTGCTAGACTACAGTAACATCACTTTTATATGCACTGGGGAACCGAAAAAACTCACGTGTCTTGAGTTATCACGATATTCACTTTATTGCAGTGGTCTGGAATCACACTGGCAAAGTCCCTTTGATCTGCCCATACCCTTTGTTTAACCGCAGTTGAAGGCTCCTGAATCCTACTGTGAAGTCTTACTCCCTCATGGGTTTCTTAAGCTGTGTCCTTGATGCCTGGAATATAATGGGTGCTAAATGAATATTTATTAATAGGCTGATTTTGCCCATTTGTCACCATGGAATCAGTTATGTAATTTTCTGCTGGTGCTAAAAATTCCAGACAGTAACAGGCAGGTGTGAAAAGATATCCTGTTAACTTTTTGTTGATTATTAGGGTTCTCCAGAGAAACAGAACCAATAAGATATATATACATACACATATTGTTGTTGTTTAGTTGCTCAGTTGTGTCTGACTCTTTTGTGACCCCATGGACTGTAGCCCGCCAGGCTCCTCTGTCCCTGGGATTTCCCAGGCAGGAATTCTGGAGTGGGTTGCCATTTCATTCTCCAGGGGGTCGTCCCTACTCACTGATCAAATCCACATCTTCTGTTTGGCAGCCAGATTCTTCTACCAATGAAGCACCAGGGAAACCCTACATATACACAGTGTACATTCCAGCCTTCCAAAGGCCTGTGGTCCAGGAGCACAGAGGGCGGGAGGCAGTGTCCCAGCTCAGCAGTCAGGGAAAGAACAAATTCCACCTTCTTCTGCTTTTTTCTTCTTTTCAAGTCCTCAAGAACTTGGATGAGGCCCACCCACAATGGGCCATCAGCTTCATTCCGCCCCCCAGTTCAAATACTAACCTCTTCCAGGAACACCTTCACAGACATATTCAAGAGTCATGTTTAGGCAGATATCTAGGTGTCCCCTGGCCCACTCAAGTTGACAATTTCATGTATCCTTCTAGATATTGTTTTATATAGTCATCTATATTTTCTATATTATTTTACAGATTTTATGTATATACACAGTTATCCTTTCAGAAAAAGGAATGTGTATACTAGTATGTGTGTATGCACAGATATCTCACTCTACGCTTTGTTTTGTACCTTGATTTTTTTTCCCATTTAACAATAGAGTTTAAGGGGTCTTCGTTGGAGTGCATGCAGATTTATATCACTCTCTGTTGTACAGATGTGCTCTCATTTATTTGATCACTCCCAGTTTTGGTGGACATTTACCTTGTTGTCTGTCGTATTTTCCAAATATATGTCCTGACTTCAGGTGAATCTGTAGTAGTGGAATTGTTGAATTAAAGTGCATGTAAATGTATTAGTGGGGCTTCCCAGGTGGCATTGTTGGTAAAAGAATCCGCCTGCTGGTGCAGGAGATGCAGAAGACGCAGGTTTGATCGCTGGGTCAGGAAGATCCCTTGGAGGAAGGCATGGCAACCCACTCCAGTGTTCTTACCTGGAGAATGCCACAGACAGAGGAGCCTGTCAGGATACATTCCATGGGGTTGCAAAGAGTCAGACACAACCAAACTTCTGAGCACACACACAGCAAATGTATTAGTGAGAGTGGGCTAATTCCTGTTACACATAGACCAAAGAAATATACATAATGGCTTAAAC